GCCCTGCACGGCAGAGCGCGGCCGGCTTCCGGGCTCGGGCAGTCGCTGAGGCCCCGTGCCACCCTTCGCCACCGCCGAGGAGCCGCACCCGCCCGCGGCCTCGAAGAAGCGCTTGAGCTCGCCCAGCGGCTGCGGCGGCGGCCGAATGTGCGGCTCCGGGGTCGCGGGGCGCGCCAGCGCCGCCTGCCGGTGGGCCTCCCGCTCGATGTCTCGCTGCATCTGTGCGCCCGCCCGCGCGCGCTCCAAGGCGCGCGGGAGCGCGGGGCCGGGGCCGGGCAGGCCGAGCACCGGCCGCATGCGTAGCTCGACTAGTTCGCGGCCCGCGCGGCCTGGGCTCAGGCCCCGGCTCCGACGCAGGCTTTCCTCGCGTTCGCAGCTGCGGCGGATTTCGCGCTCGATGGGCGTCTCCATGAGCGGCTCCTCCAGGGGCTGTTGGGGGGTCTCGGGGCGCAGTGGAAAACGCTGCTGGGGGGCTTCCGAGTCTGACCCGGAGGAGGAGGTCTCGGAACCCTGAGGGGGACACTGCCCTAGAACCCCAGCGCTTTGCGCTTCGGATGGCTCGGAGTCGTCGCAGCCTGGCCCCGCACTCTCAAAGCTCCCAGGTGTGCACGGCCCGGGGCGCCCTTCGTCTTGTCCCGTTGATGGCCCGAGGACTTCGCTCTCTTGATCGGGAGTCTTCGCGCCCTGCTCTGCAGAGGACACGGGGACGTCGCCTCCTGGCCTGGGAACTTCAGTGTCCTGCTCTGCGACAGGCCCGGGGACTTCGCTGTCTGACTCCGGGGGCTCTGGGCCCCGCTCTTCGGACGACCCCAGGGCTCCGTTCTTAGGCCCGGAGGCCTCGATGTCCAGGGTTGGTAGCAGCTCGGAAGCCTGAGGTCCTAGCGCTGAAGTTTTGATGCCCACAGCTGGGACACGGTACCCGGCGCGGCACCTGTAGCCTCAGTCGCCGCCCGCAGGTTCCAGGGCGTCGCCCGCACCGGCCGTTTCTCTGACCCGCCCCTGGCCTTCAAGAACGGCCCCTGGGGGCAGGTCCGGGCACCGCCCCCTACACCTGCCCGGAGGACTCGGGC